CCAGCACAGAAGTATCAAGGTCACAAGCACGCGGGACCTCGAAAGATAACACTCCAGCCACAGGATGAAGCAGCGACACGATGCGGCCTTCCTGAAGCCAGCGCGATGCAGTGCCAACATTGTGTGGAATAACAAAGGCTGAGACATCGAGGGTGCGCGCCTCAGTGTTGACACGCACTCGTACCACGTCGCCTTGGCGAAGCCGATGTGCCGTGCCCCGAAGGATCTGGACGTCAGCCGAAGCAGCCGCTAGCTGCGCAGCCTCAAGAACATGATCAGCACTGTATTCCTTGGGCAGCTCAACACAGACAACCTCTCTACCTAGGTCCAGAAGAACAGTTAGGGTCTCAGGGCGGGACGGGAGAGCCACAAGGTTAACCGCCTCAAGAGTAGGGCCTGCAGAGGCAGCAACAATCTGAGGGCGACCTATTCGGATGGCCTGACGGTAAAGCTCGGCGGCAGCATCGCGAGCACTCTCAGTGTTGGCAAACTCAAGGCGGACCGAAGATCCGGGCCACCAAAGGCGGCAAGTAATGAGAAACACCTCACTGGCGGAGGGAAAAACTGACCAAAGCGGTCCGTCACCAAAGTCGCCAACCTGAAGCCACCTGGCCTGTAAATGCGTGTGGGCACCTGCTGGTGCCGCAACCTGACGGTCAGGAGCCCTATTAGCTGAAACCACAACATCCCTAGGAGTGGCAGGCGCACTGTGCATCTGAACGGCATTACCAGGCATCCCACAGGAGATGACGAGGCACGCACCCCAAACAAGGAGGCTCCCGACGCCATGGTGCGGCCCGCGCAACACACAAGCAGCCAAAAGAATACCCCGAGTGCCGCTGTATTGGCTAACGACCGATGAGGAAGCCGAGCCAGGCTCGGCGGCCGACACCAAGGCACTGGGGGGAGTGGTGCTGAGAAACTCAGACGGAGTGACTCCAGTGCAAGCGGGCATGGCAGTAGACGAGGAAGCCCTAGCAGGGGAGGGCAACAGAGTGTGCTGCAGCGCAGAAATGGTGTCAGAGGTACCCGGGGTGTCCCAGCCGCCTACCTGGTCCTCCGAGGAGGAGGAAGAGTCTTGACGAAAGACATGCGGGAAGAACATGACAACAATCGGGACACTGCTGGTGAGGACCTGATCTGGTAATACCGCAAGCTCTCGATGGAGGAGGCCGAACCCGCCACGGGCGCACTGTTCGACCCACTCGTGGGGGAGGCTGCTGCGGTCCCGTCGAGAAGCAACCGTAACCGCCGCAAGAGCAGTAACAGGAGGAGGAACGCAAACAGTAGTCAGCCTCCAGCCAACTGGACGGAAATCGAGAATGCAAGGTACCTCATCCCTAGTACAGTGTACCTCCATGAACTGCACAAGGGGAAGGGAAGGAAGCGGATGCCAGATGCGGAGGACCCCCCCACAAGCACTGGGAGATGCCCTAGTAGACACAATACGTCGAAACGTAGCGGCGTCAGCAAATACCGGGGCTTCGACATACACCAGTCCATTAGGGGTGATAAGGACAGCTTGGTTATGCGAGTGGCCCGGGAAAGCTTCGTGGGCTGAGGGTGCCGTCGGGAGGCTCACCTGCATGGCCGAGAACAACGAAAGGGGGGGATCCAAAGAAGCACCGACAGGTCCTTGCAGCGCATCAGCAGCTGGGCCAATATGAAATTGCAGAGTGTCGACGTCCTGCAGAAGGAGGGGTTGGGACATCAGCGTCAACCATCCCCAGGGGCACTTAGCAAGCAGAAGGTCAACTTCAGTCTGCATCGTCTGAGCCGCGAGAGCGAGGACCGCAATGGCTCTGCAAGTAGAGTCACGGGGGCACATAAGCATGCATATGCGGCCTCCCAGCGGGCGGAGGTCAACGGGCAGCCAGACTTGACGCCATGAACAGGCAGCCGGAGTGAGAAGAAGCTGCTCACTTGGCAGGCCGGGAAGGACCCCGCGGATGGCTGAGACAGAGAAGACACCAGCAGGGAATCCCAAGGTGGCAGCAAGCCGGGCATGCAAGAGCGGCCCATGCAACCATTCGTCAACCAGGAAAGGGACAGGGCAAGGTTCGAGAATGGGAGCTCCAGGCGGTGTACCCACAAAGACAGCAAGGTGCCGACGACTGCGGTCGGTGCGGGGGAGAAGCAAGTTACCCGTGCGGCCGACAGGGTAAACCTCACACATTTCCTCAGCAGTAGGAGTGGGCAGAACCGGCCCCGTACTGAGGACAGGGAGGCCCTCATGAAAGCCGTGGGCATGTAATTGCACAGCAGTGGAGGATCTCAGCCCCCAGGAGGAGACAACCGCCGCGCCGAGGTGGAGAGTGACGCCATCGGCAACTGAGAGGTAGAGCAGCAGAAGCGTCATCCTCAGGCAGGGCCCACTGTTCCGGCACGGACGCACTGGAATACGGTGCCTAGCTCCCCGAACCTTAAGACCCGCAGAAAGGACCCCAGCACCGCACGCCACGCCAGGTTCTCCAAACACAGCAGCCCTGAGGCGAGTGACCCATGCCAAAGGCAGGACGAGCCCGCAAGCACAGCGCCAGTGATGCGAAGCCCAAGACAGGGCAAGGAGGGCATGGGGGTAAAAGTCCATACCCCAACCTGGGAGGAAGGCAAGAAGTTCACTGATGCCTGCGCACATCATCATGGCAAAGGGCGGGCACACAGTTGCCGCAGCCCACCACGCGGAGGCAGAAAGGGTGCAACCAAGCTGCCAAGAGCGTTGCCAGGACAATCTGGGACCGTAGGCCGAAAAGAACCTCTCAGTGACAGCCGAGACTCTACGTATGGCTATACACACTATGATGCAGCGCCCGAGGAAAAGGCTGACCGTGATCAAAATAAGGTGTGAACAAACACACCCTATTTGAGCACGATCAGCAGGGCAAACTGCTACAAGGTCGGGGCCGTTGCAGAGCGGCTGGTGTTCTCGCCGATTCACTCTAGCTCCGTGGGGTCCGCAGAGTCGGTCACTCGGAGGAAGGGTGATGGCATCCGGAGCAGCACTTGCACTCTTGAGTCCTGTGACGCATCTTTTGCAATAAAGCCACGGATCGGGGCGTCGGCCTCGAGAAGTAGGTCCGGGAAGAGCCACTCCTGTGCTGTTGAGGGCGCATACGAGAACGGGTCCACAATCCTTCCCGCAGTCAAATGAGCAGCCACAAGAAGTCCCTGCCTGGCAGACGGAAGGGCATTGGAACACAACCAAAGCTGCTGCATGACCTCTCGCAGATCTCGGTGAAGGGACTGGAGATGGGCCAGCTCCGGTTTGGCCACCGCACGCAACATGCCTTCCCAGACAGCTTCGGCAGCAAGCGCTACAACCTCCTGGGCCTGTGCATCCACAGTGAGTGGCAGGGCTGCATCTTGACGTGAGCATTGCCTCAGCTCGCCGATCAGGTCCGCTCCGTTCTCGGTGCAGAAGCGGAGCATAGCAAGCCACGCCACCGTCCAAGGACTCGTACTGTTGGACGTAGGGTCCGGGATGAGCTCGGGGCCGTCGTCGACCACAGCCACTTGCGGAGCACGTTGCACAGAGTCGGGCGTACGGCCCGTCGCTTCTCTTGTCCAAGGTGGTTCCACATGATCTCGCCTGGGGCTCTTCGAGGGCCGGTCGGAATGGCCTGCACTGCGCTTCCGCCATCGCCCAGAGACCACGGTCGGAGCGATAGACCCGAAGCTCAAGGAGTCGAGCTGCCCAAGGACTGGGGCTGCCCGGGGTAGCTCGACATCCACCACTGCACCTCTGTTTGCAAGAGGAGTGGAGGTCGGGGTCATCCCAGGCAGTTCGTGAAGTCCAGTTTGACCAAAACTGACATCGGAAGCGCCGTCCTGTGCCAGGACAGGGCCGGAGGGTAGCTGCGGAGGCTCCATGGCGAAAAGGGCGTGCGGTCCAGGCTCTGTAGGCAGGGGTGCAGGCAGCACTGTCCCAAAAGCCTTGAGGCCTGCAGCCAACTGCATCACCGCGTGTTCCTGCGAAGGGGACCAAATAGGGCCCATGGTCTCCTCCGCCTTGACAACCTGAGCCGTAGTGAGCTCCGAGGGCTGTGCTGCCAAAATATCCCTCATCTCGGCGGCCGCCACAGTGGTGTCCTCGTCCAACTTGCTGCCCAACGCCCTGACTTGGGTAATAAGCCCAACCAGGCGTTGGCTCACAAGCATAAACCACTGCTGCAGCGCTGTCGCCAGCTCCTCTTTCGCACGCATGTTGCCGGACAGGCGCTTGGATAGACGATTGGCAGCGTTGGAACGGCGCTGGAATCGCTGTTCCGCTGTGGCTTGAGATTCCAGCACTGCTGCAGGACCCCACAGATCCTGCGTAGACCTGTTCTGAATAGATTGCAGAGCCGAGACAACACCTTGGGGAAGTCCGAATTCCACTCTGGAAACCTGCTGGGCATCTCCCTTGCCCTTGCCTTTGGCTCCAGCTTGTTGTGAGGCAGCAGATTGACCAGGATTTTTGGGAGGCATACTTCCGTGGTGGTGAAGAAGAAGTCGTATGTCCCTGGCCTGGAAAAAGCCGCTGCGCAACCTCTTCCTCGCGAAGGCTCGCTGCCTTCGGGCACGTCTGTGCCACGGAGGGCTTGATGCACGAGACACTCTCTTGCCCGTGCTGGCCCCAAATAAGCAACCAGATGCCAAAGGCAGCTAGCGGAAACAGAGGGCCGTACCGCCTAGGGGCGGTCATGCACCTGGAAAAGTCCAGGTGGGGGTAGTACCTGACGGCCAATCGAATGGCAGCGTGAGGAAAAACCCGAATACCAGAAAAACCAGTGAGCAGCCGCCGCCCAGGGAGTGCCGCTATCGCGCTAAGCGCTGGGGTCGGGAATACGGAAAATACAAAGGCAACTCCAAAGGAGACGCCCCGCTACTTCCGCTCGAGCCGCGACGCCTACCAATTAAACTCAAAGATCCGCAAGCGCTAAACTACAAATCTGAACATATAGACACCTCAGCCTCCAACCACAAGCACTAGCAGTTGAAGACCCTGCACTCCAGCCAAGGAGCCTTCTCACGGTGCTGACTCCTTCTCTCACGGAGGGCTTTCAGGAGCAGCGGGCCTTGCTCAAGACGCAGAAGCATGAGCTGAAGTACACGGGCCGCGCTTCTTTGGGGATTTAGGGTTCGGCTTCGGGGTGCAATCCGGGGTTTTGAAGAAGTGTGAGTACATGTGACGTTGTTTTGCGACTAGCATGTGAGTACTATTCACTACATTTCCTTGCAAATATGTACCAGAACATGCCCGAAGCCTATTGGTACTATATCAGGGCTTTTGGGGTCTTTTAGGTTTTTGGACTTGGAGGGTTAGGTGTCTGCTGCTCGTAGCTCCCTACAGTAGGTCTGTTTCTAAATCCAGTAAACCCACCGTGACAGACAAGAGAAAGCGAGCGCTCATAACCCTCAAGATCAGAAATCCTTTCCTGGAGCCACTCGTCTCCAAACCCATGGTGCCATGGTGCTCTCTGCCCCTCTCCTGCTTGCATCGTTTCGTTTCCCGGTGCTCTCTGCCTGTTTGCATCGTGATCGCTTCTTCTTGCCGTCTGCCGCTATCCTGTTGCAGCGCTTCGTTTCCTGGTTGCTCTCGGAACCTATCCGGCTTGCATCGTGATCATCTCTTCTTGTTCTCTGCCCCTGTCCTGTTTGCAGCGTTTCGTTTCCCGGTGCTGTCTGCACCTATCCTGTTTGCATCATGATCGTCCCTTCTTACTCTCTGCCCCTATGCTGCTTGCAGGGTGTCGTTTCCCGGTGCTCTCTGCACCTATCCTGTTTGCATCGTGATCGTCTCTTCTTGCTCTCTGCCCCTATCCTGTTTGCAGCGGTTCCTTTCGCGGTGCTGTTTGCACCTATCCTGTTTGCGACGTGTGCGTCTCTTCTTGCTCTCTGCCGCTATCCTGTTTGCAACATGTCGTTTCTTGGTAATCTTCCCCCTATCCTGTTTGCAGCGTTCGTTTCCCGGTGCTCTCAGCACGTATCCTGTTTGCATCGTGATCGTTTCTTCTTGCTGTCTACCCCTGTGCTCTCTGCACCTATCCTGTTGGCGTCGTGATCGTGCCTTCTTGCTCTCTGCCCTTATCCTGTTTGCAGCGTGTCTTTTCCCGGCGCTCTCTGCACCTACATATCCATTTTGCAGCGCTTCGTTTCCTGGTTGCTCTCGGAACCTATCCGGCTTGCATCGTGATCATCTCTTCTTGTTCTCTGCCCGTATCCTGTTTGCAGCGTTTTGTTTGCCGGTGCTCTCTGCACTTATCCTGTTTGTGTCGTGATCGTCTCTTCTTGCTCTCTGCCCCCTATCCATTTTGCAACATGTCGTGTCTTGGTGCTCTCTTCCCCTGTCTTGTTTGCAGCGTGTCGTTTCTGGTGGCTGTCTGCCCCTGTCCTGCTTTCTGGGTGTTGTTTCTTGGTTCTCTCTGCTCCTGTCGTGCTTGCAGTGTGTCGTCTTGGTGCTCTCCGCCCTTTAGTTTTTTGTAAACACTTTTTGCAAGACAAGAAGAGAGAATCCCCAAGATAGACTCCAAGCCCATAAGTATAAATAATTAAGAGCACCTTTAGGAACCCCTATAGATCCCTTTAAAGAACCCTAACTCAACTGCACCAGAGAGAGCAAAGCCAAAAGACGCTCTCAAGGCGCCTTTTTCCCTACGCCGTGCCGCGAGACCTGCGGGCCGGGCCGCCCCCGGCCTGCGTTGTCTGCGGAGAGGTGCCCTGGGGGGGGGGGGGGCCGTTGGGCGAGGGGTGTTATAAGGATTCGGATTACTTGCAGGATTTAAAGTTTTGGGTTTGAACAGGGTTTAGGGCTCGCAGGGTGTGCGATTTACAAGTGTTTAAGGTTTAGATGTTCCTGTTCGGGGGGTTCAGTATGGCTAGGTTTGTAGTGTTTTCTGTACTAGGCTTTTCTAGAAACACCTGGTGGGCGGTAAAAGCATAGCTGAGTTTCTGGGTATTTTTGTATTTGAGAGTGGGGCTTTAGACTTTCGTGTCTTGGAAGTATGGTCTTGGCTTGCGGGCTTTGTGGGCGGACCGACTGCCTAACCCATCCGGCATTTGAAGTGGAGTCTTGCACAGAAGGAAGTTGTTTCGGGCGTGGAGGCTTCGGTGGATGGAATGAGGAGGTCAAACAACTGATCGCCAGTTTCGGCGAGGAAATACGTGCGGGCACGCCAACACCCATCGACCCTGTGGATCCCACAACCTGCTAGTTTAATCAATGTGCTGTAAGGGTTGCATGCCCTATGACTCTGGTTTCAGACCCTTCCACTCACATGAAAGTTTAATGCGGATACAGGACAGACTGGAAAACACCGGCTCTTCGGGCCTATTGGTCTTCGTTGGGGTCTTCATGCTCGGGGACGGGCATGCCTCACACACAGCTCCACGGACCAACTCAAAGTCTTTAAAGTGCAAACGCCTCGTAGCACAAAGCTGAGGTGATGGGTCTCAAATCCAAAATCCCTGCAGCCCTAAGCCAGAGCCTCTAAACCCTGAACCGCAATTTGTCCCCCAAAGCCTTCGTAGGACGCGATGGTTCTGCTGCGCCCACCCTGCTGCCCCAACGATCATGCTGCCTGCCAGACTTGTTGGGCACGCTGGGGTGAGGAGCGAGGTCTCGGGGATGTTTCTTTGGTATTGGGCGAACAGCGGGGGGGAGAATGCAATATCGGGGCGTTGTATACGTTGGGATTGGGTTTTTGAGGTCTGAGGAACCCGAGGAATCGTATTGCAGAAGAGGTATCTAAAAGCCGAAGCTTAGTTGCCGTCCGTTTTTTTGCACCACTCCGCTGCACCCTTGACTCTACGCCCCCTCGCGTAGGGCCCCCCTGACAGTCTGGTAAGACCCACCGATCTGAAAAACCCTGCTTCTGGCACTTTGTAACACCCTCCGCAATAATAGTAGTGATATCAACCGGGGGGTTAGAACTGAGAAGAAAAAGACTAAGAAGAAGCGGAAGAAGGGTAGTAATGGCCAGAATAGCAACCCGTATGCCCTAAACCCCAAATCCCACAAACCCCTTTGGAACTTCTCCCCAGGAGCAGATTGAGGCCTGCCGTCATGGCCGCCATTATCCGGCACGCTGCCTCTGGCCAGGCTGAACCTTCGCTGCTAAGACGACTGCAGGTTTTAAGACTACTGGGCATTTAGGGTTTATAGTTGTAAGTTGTAGGGCTTGTAATTTATAGGGCTCATAATAAGGTTTATAGGGTGTAGGATGATATACGATTTAGGGGGTTTAGGGTTTAAGGTTATGGTTCAGGGTGTTTGTTTCTAGGGTTCAGAGGGTTTGGCGTTTTTTTAAAAGAAGCCAAGCGGATTTGCACAAAGGCTATATAGGTTAGTTTTCAATTCAAGTGTATTCAGGCTAGAAGACTTCTGACAAGAAGGGCACACGAGCTTCTTCTCAAGGTTCAATTCAAAGGCCTCATGGCGCGACGTTCGCGAATTCGCTGGATGTCTGAGCGTTGAGGGAATCAGCGGTCTGGAATCCAAAATCTGATATCCCTAAAGTTAAGGTTTTCTGAGTCCGCTAATCAGTAAATCCATGCCGGGGGCCCGTCCCAGAATCCTCAAAAGCAAGCATCCTTAACCCTAAGGCTCGAAGGACTCACATTCTAAGGCTTTCGGGCACAAATACCATACTATATAAGACTCTTGGGCTATGTTGAGCCTTGGGGTAAGTGCCCTTCAGATTGTTAACCCCACAGCCCCTGCTTGGTTCCCGAAGCCTTTCCTTAAAGCAATGTCTCTGCACGCTGAAGCTAATCCCAGAGGGTCCAAGTACCCAAATAGTAGGGTTCCAAGGTCCACAAACCATTCAGAGTATGGATTTTGGGACCTAGAACCCTACTACTTGGGTACTTGGACCCTCTGGGGCTACGAGACCACCAGAGCATCAGTCAAGTCAACTGTAAACCCTACACCCTCGACCCAATTGCTGACGCCTTTTAGTGGAACCATGCCATTATATCTACCATTAACCCTAAACCACCACCCTCAACTTCGGACCCTGAGCAAGATCACGGCACGCCCCACCAAAAATCAGAGCCAAAGCCCCAGGCGAGAGCAATCTCCACGTGGAGGACTGGCTGTGCCCCGGCACGACTTTACAGAGGCCACATCGTTTTGTCTAGGGTCTGTCCCAGCGAAAGAGCCTGGGGCAGGGCATTTACTTACCTTGTATTGCGAGTGATTGGGTTCTAAATTTCGACGCTATACAGACCTTAAAAACTGAAGAAGCCCAATAGTTTCAAGGTGGCGTCTGCTGAAGTTCTCGCCACGACTCTCCCAGCTGGTGGCAGAGCTTGATCGCCGTGGGCGTCTACAGCAGAACCGCCTTTATCCCCCAGCGGTGCAGGCCGCTGTGTTCTTCGAACTTTCATGTCATAGGCTTGGGCTTACGACGGCTCAGGCACTGAGTAGCAGCATCAGGGCCATGGCCCCAGGTAGGTTAGGGCACATCAGTTTGACACAAATAGGACAAACACATACGTAAATAAACACAGACAGACAGTGGAGGTCGAAAAAACAGATAGACGTGGCGCGCTCGTGCGCCAATTTTGTCGGATCGAGGGACCCTTGGCAATTCGGCCCGGCTTTCCATACTCCAAGCAGAAGCCGGAAACACCAAACCTCGCTAGCACCCTAAGCACCCCTCAGCCCCTAACCCAGCCGCAGGGCACGTAGAAACCCTGGAGGTCGACTGCCCCCAGCCTGGCTGCGTGGGCTTGGGCTACCTGGGCTTCGACACGGTGATGTGCTTCATCTGCGAGCACCAGTGGGATGCGACCGAGGGCATCCTGGGGGAGGAGACGGAGCTGCCCGAGGGAGAGGAGGCAAAGAGTTGACAAGCTAAGCAGCAGCCGGAACTCCAATGAATAGCTGGATCCACCCCTAATAATTGCCTGCGCTTCCATCGTTTCGAGCTCCTATTTTGGGTTATCCTTGGTATCTATAGGGACGTAGGAGAATCAGATCAGCCCTTGGCACAGGTGGCCGAGGCTTCCGTCGCCGGAGTTAAAGTCAAGCGATGCCCGAAGTGCAACGAGTACATCGAGAAGAACGGTGGCTGCGACCTTGGTTTTCCTTCGAGGTTTCCGGAAGTTAAAAAATGTATAAGAAGACAGATTCAGATACTGTTGCATGGTGCCCCAGTTGTCGATCCTACCCGTCGAAAACGAGCATGTAACAACGATGATCACAGTAGTAATAATTATGATGATCGCAAAAGCAATAACGGTAACAATAACAATAGCAGCAGTAAAAACACGAATAGTGGTATTCTAGTAGTAGTAGTAGTAGTAGTAGTAGTAGTAGTAGTAGTAGTAGTAGTAGTAGTAGTAGTAGTAGTAGTAGTAGTAGTAGTAGTGGTAGTGGTAGTGGTAGTAGGTAGTAGTAGTAGTATAGTAGTAGTAGTAGTAGTAGTAGTAGTAGTAGTAGTAGTAGTAGTGGTAGTAGTGGGTAGTGGTAGTGGTAGTAGTAGTGGTTGGTAGTAGTAGTAGTGGCAGTGCAGTGGCAGTGGTAGTGGTAGTGGTAGTGGTAGTGGTAGTGGTAGTGGTAGTGGTAGTAGGAGGAGGAGGAGTATGGTAGGAGCAGGAGTAGGAGTAGTAGCAATAATAAGAAGATGCATAGCACTACCAATCATATTCGTCATCAAGTCCGAAGTATCAGCAGTAATGACGCTGGCAGTAGTAATGACAGTAATCTTAACATAGTAATGGTAATAATAACAACAGTAGTAACGATAACAATAACAATCATCAAAATATTCATAACAGTAGTACTGCTGCTGGCAGTAATACTGACAGTAATCGTCAAAATAGTAGTGATAATAATGACCCGAATAGTAACGGTAATAATAGCAAGAATCATACGGACAATAATACTGATAATAATAGTGACAATTGGAGATAATCGTAGATATGCTAATAATATAGAAATAACAGTTGTAACTACTAACACCGGTTTGACCAGTGTTTATAGTAAAATAATGATAGTAATACGTCGTAAGGCTGCGACCACATGACCTGCCGCTGTGGCCATCAGTTCTCCTGGCAGACCCGAAAACCCTGGCGGCCTGGTGGCTGATCCGGTTTTCCCAGGGCTGAGCTGCAGGGTCCCAGGTCCTTCTTAGATTCTCTTAAGATGCCCCCCCCCATATACAAAACGAAAAATATTCACATACATGTGTATACAGTATATATTTATGTGTATATATATATATACCTACAACCCTGTCGGCCCGGAATAACGGCCTGAGGCCAAGCAGACCGGGAAAGCCGCCCGCACAAGATAAATCAGCCTGAAGGAAGAAATATAGCCCGCATCAGTTTTGGTCAAGAAGCTATAGGCTCAAAGTTCTTGCCACGATAGCAGAAAAGTTCATTTCCCACTTAAACGACCATCAATCCGACCCCGTAAGGCATAAGTACCTTGTAACTTTGGCATTGAAGTAAAGTATGAGAAGTATGAAGCCCTTCAATCACGAATCAAAGATGTTTCCCTCGGCTCTGCCTTTGCTGCTGCGGTCGTCGACGACGATGCGGCGATGAGGCGAATGATTTGGGAAGTTTGCTCTACTTTAAGCTTGGGGATTATTCAAGGAATCAGCCTAAGTTAAAGGTAAGGCTATTAAGTGTATAGGAAAGGGGATCATTTCTTAGCCTCTTTCCGCCGTCTTCTAACAGCTCGAATTTTCAAGAACAGGCGATTGAAAACCCGAAAGCCCTGCTTGCGAACATCCACCTTTCTGCTCAGTCTAGAAATTCTTCCCACGAAATCTTCGTCTTGTTCGCAGGACATGGCTTCCGGGTTTAAAACTAGCTGGCTGCCGCTGCACAACTGTTCTTTCAGGGAAAAGGCTACGTGATGCATTCCGTGATTCTTGGGTTTTTGAATAAATGCCCGGTAGCCAGCCTTCAAGCAAAGTGATCCCAACAGCTGATATCCACGGAGAGCTCGCATTATCTCCACATACAGCTTCCGTGCACAAGGTCTCGCCAACCAGAGTCCATGACCGTGGATAGAATAAAACATGTTCAAATAAGCTTGGGCGAGCTGTCGCATCTTGTGCAACATAGTGGTATCAGCATGCTCGGGTGGCTCGCGAAGGACCAGAGTCAAGTACCAAAGCAACCATTGCATCATCAGTGTGGTATCAGCACCTTTGGTGTTGCACCAAGGAGCACTCGCCAGGCTCTTCATGTTCAGGAAGGCTTTAGAAAAGCTCCGTAAGGAAGGGTGTTTTCGCTCAGCTTTGGTCCAAAGCACGAAGGATCGGTGAGCTCTCTGGAGCCTTGTAGGGAAGGAGAAGCCTTCGTGTTCGCAGCCTTCGAAATCAAAAAACTTGTGGCGAACCAAATATACCAGCACACCACCAGCGATGTTTCTTCCAATTCCCATCTTACAAAGATGAAAGGGGTCTAGCTGGAGAATTTCTTCAGGGGCAGGATATGCAGGGATGGTCGCGAGTGGTGGGTGAGGATCATTCTCCGGCCACGGACGGCTAGCAAAGCACGTCAATCGCCACTGCGGGGATTCGGAATAATCCTCGAACATAGGACCTCCTTGGCCAGCCTCACACATGTGGCAAACCGGTCCAGTGGTGACAGTACCACTTCTAGCATAGGACCTTTGCAGGTTAAACAAATTCTTATGCCATTCCATATCCCCTTTCACAGCAATGACGGCTCCGTAGTATCTACGAGTTCCTACGAGAAACCCTTCTTCGAAGAGGCTTCTGAAATCAGAGGCCAGCCGTGCATGCAGGAGATCCATCACTTCAGGCTGCTTATGGTAAATCCAAGAACCAAGACTGAAGAGCAACCATCGGGATACAAGGGTTGAACCTCGGTAGTTCGTTGTTTGCTTCATGAGGGTTTCACGGATCTCCTCTGGCAGGCAATAATCATCCAGAGAATCGCCAGCGGCACCGAATGAAGGCAAGCCCGGGGATTGCAATAGATCTTGATGACATGTGCAAGTGCTAGGTTTGTCTGGTAGAGAACCCAAGATACTTTGCATGCTTAGCACCATGCACTTGCCTTTCTTTTGCGACCGACCCTCATCGCCATGTATCAGCAAGGGCACAACCTGCTCCAAACATTCTCCTAGCGGTGAATCAAACACTTTGTGATGAGGATGGCCACAACGAAACATGCTCCAAAAGGCATGAAAATTCCTTGAAGGATCGTCTCCGCCAAGCAACTCGGGTGAGGTTTCCATTAGGTAGGCTAGCCAGGATTGGGGCCGAACATGCCATGTTTTGATACAGTCTTGACCCTCATGGTTTATGACTTCCACAGGAACTGGTAGCGACAAGCCCCGAGTACGAAAAAACCTCTCGGCGAAAGCTTCCGGATCCTTCGTGGCACTCACTTTCTTTCCCTGAGGCACGATTGTGCCTAGAGTCCTGTTCACTGATTTCGCCGTGGCCTGGGCTGCATTTTGTCTTTCACGAGAAGTGGGCCTAAGGAATTCTGGAGTTTGGGCTTTGCGGGAAAACTTCGCGATTGCACTTGGGTTTCGGATAGGAGTCCTAATCAGATAATGATAGTGGGTTTGAATTCGAAGAGGGCATTCAACCTTATTTGGGACCTATCTTCAGACGAAGTGCTCCGTCGCCGAGGTTTTCAGCCAGGCATTGAAGAAACTCTGATTCGTCGTCATCGTCATCCATACGACCTGCCATGCAGGGTCGGCTAAGGCTGAGGGGATGAGGTTGCGGCTATACGGATGGAGTTTCGTTTTTTGGTGAACTCGTACAGGAACGATTTCTGGGCTATAGAAGGGTTAGTAGGGCTTAAAGCTTAGTCGACCTCTGTAACCAAACCAATCTACTATGCAGACCTACTCTGGAATATAGATCACTCAGGACTCCCAAGGACTATGACTATGTTTGACGAAACGATCACGAAGGGCTTGTGTAGGTGGCCCCAAATCAATAAAAGTAATTCCTGGTTGTTTACAAAGTTTGGGGCGTTCTCGGTTTAGCCTAGGTTCAGTGAAGGACGGCTTCGGGCTTCGGGCTTGCTTTGCTAGGCTTAGGCTTCGGGCTGTGCAGAAAGCAGCAAATCGGCGCATTTCAACATCAGTGTGCACCATCGAGCAACTCCCCCGGTCAGTTGATCAAACAACTGGATAATTAGAGGCATAGCTGATCAAACAGCTAGAAAGTGTGAAAGCCTTGCCAAACTTTCTGTCGGCAATCGAGAAAATCAGCTGAGCATGCTGTGGGAACATGCGGCTACTGCTTCATGTACACCTATTATTGCTTAGCTTAGCAGTCAAACAAACCCAAAAGACGATGCTCACGACAGCTCTAGTTTCGCTTCCTTTTGGAAGCCGGGGTGTCCTCAGCCTGCTCCGAGTCTGTGTTGGATCGCTTGCTCACGGTTTTCCTCAGCTTGGCCTTGGCTTTTGCCTTAGCCGCAGCCTTCGGTTTGGACTTTGGAGTACCGTTTTTCGACGAAGGGCTCGTTGATGCAGCATGCGACTTCTTGTCCGGGTCCGGCGGGGCATGGGTCCTAATGTGCGGCAAAAGTTGTATTTCGTGGCAAGAACATGCGTGCAAACACTGAGCTGAAAGTACCACTCAGGTGCATGCTTGGCCCTGTCCATCAACAGCATCGTCTCGACGACCCTCGGATTTTACGACTGGGCTGTTGTTGGGGATAAGTGAATCTAAGCTTGAGACTGTATAGGGTTTGGAAGTTTAGGGGTCGAGGCTTTGGGTGGGATTAGGCTTGGGTCGTTTCGGGTTCGAAGCTCTAGAGTTTCATATTTTGGGCTTAGATTAAGAGTTCGAAAGCTAAGGGATATATTAAGGTTTCGAGGTTTGGTGTTCAAAGCCAGGGCTCTTGTCAACTTGAGACTTGAGACTGTGGAGGTCCGTTGTTTGGGGCTTGGGAATCCAAAGACTTGCTCAAGTGTTTGGAGGTTTGAAACCGCAACATATTGTCCGTCTTAGAGCTGAAGTACTTTAGGTTAGAGATACTGAGAAACCAATAAGCCGTGGAACAGCTTTTGGCCGACGTCCAGCTGGTTCGTGATGTCTCGCTGCTTCCTTATAACTGCTCGGGTTCGCACACTTGAGAAAGTTGCCCGGGGCCCGCAACTGTGGCTTGTAGTTACTCTTCTGACGAGTATCTTGCGATTGAAACCATTCAGCACACCCTCACCATGATCACGGTGCATCAATTCAGCACTTGACTCCAGCTTCTTGAGCGTGTTGCAAAGTTTGTCCTTGAGCCTCAGCTAACAGAAAAGAAACACTGGAAACAACACCACAACAACACAGCCAAATTGCATCCAGCAAGCAATGGAGCCTAGTAGCGAACTTTGCAAGTCAGTAAGAGTTGTGCCATCCGGAAGCTTGTGAAACCGCTGTAGCAGCCCATCAAGCTTCTTAGCATGCCGGGAAATGCATCTACTTGCTGGTAGTAGCAAAGCAGAAGGGGCCATATCCTTCTCCATTTCCGGAAACCCAGTCTTCAAGGCTTTGCCTTGATCAGGCTCCTCTTCGGGGTCCTCGTCCAGCTGTTCTTCGAGCCCGGTGTCCGGCGTGAGGGCAGCAGCCAAGGAAGGGTCTCGGCTGACAATGGAGGTTGGAAGAAAAATCAAAAGTAAGCTTTAGGGACCGGGGTTTGTTTGGATTTTAGGCACTAGTTACAACCTGCTAGGGTTTAGCTTTCGGGCTTCTAGGGTTTTTCGAATCTAGCCAAGGCTGCGGGTTTGTCGGGGTTCTAGAATCCTGCAATCGGGGTCCTGTTGCTCGGGTTTTAGAATCTAGTTGGGCTGCGGGTGGTTTTTGGATCCAGGCAGGGTCTCGGGTCTCGAATTAACAAAGGCTTCTAGAACCGAGCAAGGGTACAGAGTCGCGGGATTGTCGGTGTTTGCGGATCTAGCTCAATTTTCTAGGGTTTATCTACTGATGCAAGGATCATTAGGTCGAGCAGCCCTCGGCATCAGGAGCCATGAGACTCCAATCGTTGAAGCTTTTCTGCTTCTTGCAAGGCTTCTTACCATCGGCCTCTTCATCCCACTCCATCGCCTCTTGAAAGACCTGTCGCTTGGTCTTCCTCAGTCGC